ATGGCCCTTCTAGCTGCAGCCTTAATGGCCACTTCTGGGCTGGTTCTGCTCACTTCCTGTAGCTTTCCTCAGCAGACATTTTACATTCCTGGCATCTCTAACTTCTTGGGGTCTCCATTGCAGCTTCAGCCTCACTCTTACATCAAGTATTGCCCGTTTATGGAATGACTGCAGGGATTCTGACCCTGTGACAAATTGCCTGGTCTCGCAGGCCTTCCTTTGAAATTCCAGTAGAGGCCCCTATGACCTTATAACTCCAGTATTTGGTATGTCTGAAAAACCAGCATGATCTGGATGATGCCAAAGTCTCCTTCTAGTGGGAGAAGTAGATAAGCACATTTGTACCATGGCTGCAGCAGCCTGAATGATTAGACTGCTGAACATGTGTAAGCCCATCTCAGGAAATCAACTACCAAGGTGGTCTTGTGAGCAGCTTAATCTTACTCAAAGCAAAGTCTTTCAAAAGAATTTACACTTTTATGACATTAAACTTGGGATTGAGGGGGTCTGGACAAAGCCTGAGATGTCCTCAAGGCATTTTTCCGATTGTCCTGGTGCAAAGTACTTGGCCTCATTTTAATGGTACTAATCTCTTCAGAAACCACACCTTCTAGGGCCCCTACTTTATATGGGCACCTTTTCTGGTCATGCTGCAGGATTTTCAAATCTTTCTGTTCTCTGCTTTTTGCTGTCAATGCTCCCAGTGAACCTGGGTAAAAGCAGTCAGCAATATACATACCACTAGCTAAATGCTATGTTGTCTTCAAATGTCCTCTGCCATATTAGTTAACACATCTCCTTTAAACTAAGTCTCACATAAAGTCTTGGCATGAACAAAATATAAATATGTGCTTTGCCATAATGTAACATACATAGCCTCTAGTCCAATTTCCAATAGAGTCCTTATTCCCATCTGAAACCTCATGAGCCCAGTCATTACTGTCTACATTCTTACCAAAATTTTGCTCTTCTAAGTTCACACCATCATCATGCATTTAGCTCCACTTACAGCATTCTAGGATTTCTCTAACCATCATCACTAGCCTTTCTAATCATTATCACCAACTCCGCCTGCAAACTAGTTTCAATAGTTTCTGAACAACATAGTATGGTATAATCACAGGAATGACAGCACTTCCTGGTGCTAGTTTTCTGTTAGCCATACTTTCTTTGCCTGGACAAAATACCTGAGAATATCAGCTTAAATGAAGAAGTTTACTTTGGCTCAAAGTTTTAGAAGTTTCAGATGGTCAGCTGGCTCTGTTGCTTTTAGGACAATGGCAAGGCAGACATTTCACAACAGAAGAACATGGCAGAGGGCTTTTCACCTCATAGCAGCCAGGAAGAAGAGAGACATCAAGATAAAGGGTCCAGAGACAACATAGAGTTCCCAAGGGCATGCCCCAAGGACCCCTCCCTTTGACTAGACCCTACCTCCTACAGTTCTCACAGCCTCCCAATTCCATTAAACAATGGAAATCTGTTAATTTATTAAAACACTGATGAGGTTGGAGTCCCCGTGATTCAAATAATTGAATCAACCTCTCATAACCCCACTTCTGAATATCACTGCATTGGGGACCTAACCTTCAAAACATGAAACTTTGGGGGATATTCCAGATCCAAACCATAATATTTGATAGAAATACATTGAAATCTTGTGATATCTTCAGCTCTTTCTATGGTGCTGGGGAGCAAACTCAGGGACTTGTGCCTGCTGTATAAGTGCTCTACACTGAGGTACATCCCCAGAATGAAGTTCATGTTTTATTAGAACTCCTAATAGCTTAAGAACATGGAAGTTCCCCAATCAATGCATTTCAACAGATGTAGAAGTCAGTTTACAGCCTTTATAAAAATGGTATAAAATTCAATTCATACCCACTTAACCTTCTGTCTTATATGTTATTTTACTAAAACTTTAATTGAAATTGGCTCACATTTCAAACCTTTGTTCCAGAGTTATTTGGGAGGGGGGTAACTGTGGTTAGGGTTGCTTTGAGGTTAGAGGATGCTTGTGTATTCTACATGTATTTATACAATTCTTCCTTCAAAGCCTCACATCAATATTACAGGTCTCCCACACAGCAATTCTGTTATAGGGATTAAGGACCTTAGATTTATGTCTGACTGTATTAACCCCTTTGCTATTGTTCAGGGTTGCTGGAGGTATTTTTCCTCATTATAAAGCAGGTTCACTGGGCACTGATTACCAACTTGTCTAATAAGTTTGGTGAGACAGAATATACAAAGCTTCATGAAGTAGATTTATTACTTATATAAGATGGGCAAGAGGGAAAAACAGAAGTCTTAAGAGTCAATGCTAACTCGTCTCCCCAAGATTCAGAAAAGTTGCCATGAGAAAATGGATCTTGACTGCATGTGCCCTATGAAAGTGATTCCAGAAAGCCACCCACACTGGGTTTTATATGTCAGAATAATATGACTCAACTGGCAAGAGTGTTGAAGGATGTCCAGTTTCCACAGGGGACTTACTGGTCTTATTCTGGCCAGTGTCTTTTGAAATCATACTGTTGCACTTCTAAAACATTCTACAGTTATTAAAAGTACAAGTGATAAAGCAGGGAGAACTGACCAAAGACCAAAAGGAATGTGGTCCCATACCTCAATTTTGGAAGATCAGGATATTTGTTCATACAGAGGCAAAGGCATTAACAACAGTGGCAGTGGAGGTATGAAGGGTTCTGGTGACCCATCTACTAATAGGTTTCTGGACCTGAGCATGCCACATGACTGCTTTTTTATTTCCTGATTACACACTGGGAATATCTCAGTGGTAGAGAACTTCCCTTACATGCAACCCCACCACACACACACCTTTCTATGGTGCTGGGGAGCGCGCGCGTGCGCACACACACACACACACACACACACTCCAGAAGATATACTTTCCATTTCTACTCATGTAAAGTTGTGGATTTCACAGATATTGTCACCATCTAATCACCAGTAGTGTAGATCATCTGTATTGATAAGATGTTACATCCAGGAAACCAGAAACATATACTGGAGAACAGCAACTCAGCTTCAAAGAGTGCCCTCAATATTGTTGAGGTGAGAGTCCCATGCGGCCAGGTATGGTGGTACACGCCTGTAATCCCAGTGATTCAGGAGGCAGAGACAGGAGGATCACGAATTAAAAGCCAGCCTCAGCAAAAGCAAGGTGTTAAGCAACTCAGTGAGACCCTGTCTCTAAGTACAAAATAGGGCTGGGGATGTGGCTCAGTGGTTGAGTGCCCCTAGTTCAATCCCCAGTACCAAAAAAAAAGGAGGGGGAGGAACAATAAAATAATTCACATGAAGAGACTCTATGACAAACTTTACATACTTGATACCAACTCTTTATTAGCAAAGAAAATGGAATAGACTTTATGAGCACCCAAAAGAAGTAGCTTTTACCATAAAAAAGGTAGAGATATGTAATGCATGAAGATGTTCCAAAACTTGCCACATTAAGAACAGTAAGAAAATCCCAACAATTTGCTAAGACTCATTTTTCAATGGTCTATCACAGAAAAATCATACATTTATATAAAAATTAAACATACCTTATTAGAAGTACATTCCAACTCACCTTCAGACTCAACACAAAAAATGATAGAAAAAAATTTTATTAACAAACTTTAAAAAAAACCCCAATAACTATTGAACTTAGATAATACTGCTTAACAATATAGTCATGCATTGCCTAACATGTCAGTTAACAATGGGCCACATATCCTATGTTGATTCTATACCAACATAACAGAGCTTAAAAATGCCTATCACAGAGTAAATGCATACCTAACAAAAGGGCAAGAGGGCGGAAAAAAACTCAGAAGGAGGAAAAAAAATCAGTGAAGGGTTTAGAAGAGAGCTGCAGTCCTCGATAAGCTTTTCTTTAAAAGTTTGAAAACACGGACCCCAATAATCATGTTTTCATTAATAGAGAAGAATGTTCAAGGTATATATTACCTGCTCACAAGCAATTCTATAATGAAAAGAAAAGAAGCAAACCCCCAATATTTATGAAAAATCTTGACACCTCCTGAAGAATAGTCTCAGTCAGGTCCTTCAGGAGGGATTCCAGGAAAAAAGCATCATCATAGAAAAGGAAAACTCTGTGTTATTGCCCCTGGAGAATTTCCACCAGACAGATGTTGAAATGGAAGAGAGTGATATTGGTGATCCTGACCCTGTGTAGGCCTAGGGTGAGGTGTGTGTTTGTACCTTAGCTTTTAACAAAGTTTAAAAACTAATAAATAAATAAATAAATAAATAAATAAATAAAATAGTAATATAGAAGTTTATAGAATATGTAAAGAAAATATTTTTACACAGCTGTACAAAGTGCCAAGATAAGTGTTATCACAAGATTTAAAAAGATTTTTTAAAAAATCAAAGTTTACAAAGTAAAAGTTACAGCAAGCTTAGGTTATCCTTGTGGAAAGAAAATATTTTTACGAATTTAGTATAATCTAAGTTTATAGAGTTTATAAAGTCTGTAGTAGTGCCCAATTATGTCCTAAAACTTCACATTCAATCACAGATCTCTCACTGATTCACCAATAGCAACATCAAGTCCTGCAAGTTGTATCTGTGGTAAGTGCCCTTCACAGGTGTACCATTTATTTTATTTATTTTGGGTACCGGGTATTGAACCCAGGGGCACTCAGCCACTGAGCCACATCTCCATCCCTATTTTTTGTATTTTTTTTAGAAACAGAGTTTCATTGAGTTGCTCAGCGCCTTGTTTTTTGCTGAGGCTGGCTTTGAACTCGTGATCCTCCTGCCTAAGCTTCCTGAGCCACTGGAATTACAGGCGTGCACCATAGCGCCTTGATATTTTTAAATTTTATATATAATGTTCCTACTGTATCATTTCTGTGTTTAGGTATTTATACCCTTACCATCATGTTAAACATTGTCTATGGTATTCAGTATAACATACTATATAGGTTTAAATCCTAAAAGTAAATAGGCTATACCACACAGCCTAAGTGTGTGGTATAGCCTATTTACTAGAATGTACATGTAAGGTTCTTTACATAATGATGAAATTGCCTGACAAGGCATTTCTCAGAATGTATCCCATTGTTAATTGACATGAGTATATCAAGAATATTCACCTCAATGTTTCTGGGCTAAAGAAATGGAAACTCAAGGGCTGGGATTGTGGCTCAGTGGTAGAGTACTCGCCTGGCACGTACGAGGCCCTGGGTTCAATCCTCATCACCACATAAAGATAAATAAATAAAATAAAACATGGACCCCAATAACCAAATGTTTTCATTAATAGAGAAGTATGTTCAAGGTATATTACCTGCTCACAAGCAATTCTATAATGAAAAGAAGCAAATCTGCATTATATATTTATGAAAAAATTTGACTATAACTAAAAAATAAATATTAAAAAAGAAAAGAAATGGAAACTCAAGAGTCCAGAGACCTTCTCTCAGTATGAACCACTAATAAACATAATATAATCATAACTTCTGTGACATTTCATTCTTATTGTGAAATTTGGAATATTACATAATAATTTGCACCAAAATTTCAATATTACTTGCACTTATAGGATTTCTTTCTTTTCATGACATTGAAAATAAATATTAAAACAAAATTTTATTTGTCACTGGGCACAGTGGTGCATGTCTATAATCCCAGTGACTTGAGAGACTGAGGCAGGAGGATAGCAAGTTCAAACCCAGCATTAGCAACTAAGCAAGACCCTAAGCAACTTAGTGAGACCCTGTCTCAAAATAAAAAACAAAAAAGGACTAGGGATGTTGCTCAGTAGTTAAGCACCCATGGATTTAATCCCCAGTACCCAACAAAACCAAAAAAAGTTTATGTGCCAACTACTGGGGTTTCAATATAGAATGCATGCTTATATGTATAAGGTCTATTTCCAGCATGCATTATCATGTGTCCTTGAATGGATGTCAGAGAAATGAAGATATTCTTACGTTCCACACATTTATAGGAATTTTCTCTAAAATAAGTTTTTTCATGTCTTCAAATGGACCCAAAACAAATGACAACTTAACACATTTCTTACATTCATAGGGCTTTCCTCCAGTTTTCAAAAATAACTGGAAAAACTGAAGTCTTCACCAGTTTTTTATAGCTATGGTATTTTCCTCCATTGAGTTGTTCATGCATTTGAAGGGAATTAAAGTCTGACAGCTTTAACCACATTTACATTTTTTCTCGAGTATGGGTTTTTGCATGACTTTGAAGGGAACTGTGAAATCTGAAGGCTTTGCCACACAGTTTACATTCACAGGGTGTTTCTCCAGTATGAATTCTTTCATGGCAACGAAGGGAATTGGAACTACTGAGAGCTTTACCACATTGTTTACATTCATAGCGTCTTTCTCCAGGGTGATTTCTTTCATGATATCGAAGGGAACTGGAACTACTGAAAGCTTTCCCACATTGTTTACATTCATAGGATTTTTCTCCAGTATGAGCTCTTTCATGATATTGAAGGGAACTAGAACAACTGAGAACTTTACCACACTGTTTACATTCATAGGGTTTTCCTTCAGTATGAATTCTTTCATGTTCTTGAAGGTAGTTGTGACATCGGAAGGCTTTACCACATTGTTTACATTTATAGGGTTTACATACAGTATGAGTTCTTTCATGCATTTTAAGGGAACTGGGAAATCTGAATGCTTTACCACACTGTTTGCATTCGTAGGGGTTTTCTCCAGTATGAATTCTTTCATGATATCGAAGGGAATTGGAAATAGTGAAAGCTTTACCACACTGTTTGCATTCGTAGGGGTTTTCTCCAGTATGTATTCTTTCGTGATATCGAAGAGCACTAGAGCAACGAAGAGTTTTACCACAGTGCCTACATTCATAGGGTTTTTCTCCAGTGTGAGTTCTTTCATGATATTGAAGGGAACTAGAACAACTGAGCACTTTACCACACTGTTTACACTCATAGGGTTTTTCTTCAGTATGAATTCTTTCATGTTCTTGAAGGTAGCTATGATGTCTGAAGGCTTTACCACATTGTTTGCATTCATAGGGTTTGTATCCACTATGAATTCTTTCATGCACTTTAAGGGAACTGGGAAACCTGAACGCTTTACCACATTGTTTACACTGATAGGACTGTTCTCTGTTATGAGTTCTTGCATGAGATCGAAGGGAGGTGGAGGAACTGAGAGCTTTACCACAATGCTTACATTGGTATGGTTTTGATTCATTGTGAGTTCTTTCATGTTCTCGAAGGTTACTGTTGCGAGTGAAGGCCTTACCACACTGTTTACATTCATAGGGTTTCTCTCCAGTGTGAGCTCTTTCATGCCGTAGAAGGGAACTTTGATATCGGAAGGCTTTACCACATTGTTTACATACACAGGGTTTTTCTACACTATGAACATTTTCATGAAGTTGAAGGGAACTGGGACAACTCAGTACTTTACCACACTGTTCATGTTCATTGAGTTTTCCTTCAATATGAGTTCTTTCATGTTCTTGAAGGTAACTGTGACTTCTGAGAGCTTTACCACATTGTTTACGCTCAAAGGACTTGTCTTCAGCATGAGTTCTTTCATGTACTCTAAGGGAATTGGAAGAACTGAGTACTTTACCACATTGTTTACATTTGTAGGTTTTTGCTTCAGTGTGAGTTCTTTCATGTATTCCAAGGGAATTGAAAGAACTAAGAACTTTACCACATTGTTTACATTTATAGGGATTTTCTTCATTATGAGATCTTCCATGTCTATGAAGGGAACTGGAACAACTCAGAGCTTTATCACATTGTTTGCATTCGTAAGATTTTTCTACACTGTGAATTCTGCCAGGGATTTGAAATGAACTAGAACAAAGAAAGGTCTTCCCACACTGCTTGTCATCAGAGGGTCTGGCTCCAGTGTGAGTTTGTTGATGTATTTGAAATGAACTGGGGGAATCAAAGACTTTCAAACACAACTCACAAGTATAAGAGCCTTTTATCCTATGGGTCACCATATGTCTTCCAACACTTCTGAGAGAAATGAAGGTTTTCCCACACTGTTCACATTTATGTGGCTTCTCTCCATATTCCTCACACTCAAGTGCCTTGTATCTGGAGTGAGATTTCAGGTGCCCCTTAAGGGATGAATGACACAGGAAAACTTTTCCACACACACTGCATTTACATGGTTTTACTCCAGCAGGAATTTTCTTGCTCTGATTAATATTTAAAGCCTGACCACCTTCTTCACTTTCACAGAGTCTCTCTACCACATAACTTCTGTAAAAAATGACAAGTGCATTAGCAAGGGTTTGACTATTATTACCTATCTATTTAATTAGTAAGTGTTGGAGTTCCATGACCCCCCAAATCAGGGAAAGTGTAGGATTTTTTCCATGGCTGAATGACTTAAAAGTAAATGGATTACATTGAAACATGAATCCCACTTAGCTATTTTCAAAACAGTGACATTCATACATGCAGGTGCTTAGTATTGTTTACAAGTGAACTGTTTTGCGAACATATTTGTTACATTTAAGTAAATATTTCTGGTGAAAACTTTTAATGATAAATAAATTTAAAGTTATACTTATCTATTTAGTTTGTTTGTTCTTAAAATTCCCTGACATACTAGGATTCTCTCAAGGGACTTTGATTTCTCTTGTGCATGCAAATTACCTCAAATTTCTCCCATAATTTTTGTACCGATCTTCAATGTTCTGATTTTTCCATTTGTTTCCTAAAATGGGGACACAAGAATTATGACTTATTAGAAATTATTTAAAAATTGTCCAGGAATGTGCTACACACCCATAATCCCAACCAGTAAAAAGGCTAAAGCAGGAGGATTGCAAGTTTAAGGCTGGCCTGGGCAACAGTGAGACACTGTCCAAAAAAAAAAAAAAATGCTGGGTGATGGATGAGTAGCTTAATGGTAAGTAGAGTGTCCTCCCTGGGTTCAATCCCAAGTACCAACAAAAAAATTATATGAAAATTATTATTACTTTCTTGGTTGAGTGTACACTATAATGATTCCTATGCCTATGCCTATGATCAACTCACCAAATTTTTCCCTTTTCACATTCCAAATCACAGAACAGCATGCATGACCAAGAAACACTTGTCCTCTAACTGACTAAGTAAAGGGATGATGTCATTCTTACCAACAGAAGCCAGGTTCCTGAAGGTTTCCAGCATTACATCCCTGTAGAGATTCTTCTGGGAAGGATCTAGCAAAGCCCATTCCTCTTGGGTAAAGTCCACAGCTACATCCTGAAAAGCCACTGAATCCTAAAACATTCCACATACATGTACAAGAGAATGAGTCCAACTGACAACACAGGATCTACACTCAATTCATAAAAGGTTCACATGATTCTATGGTTTCCAAATATACTCCATGACTTGGTCATGAGAATTCTTGTCCTTGGATGACACTCCCTTCCACACAGAAGTTCTAATTCTAGAATTGAGCTACTCAGAGAGGGAACAGCACAGTTGGAACATCCTCTTATTAGTGGGCTCAGGGAGTGAGAAGTGCTGCTAGATCACCCTAACTTGTCTTTGTAGAACTGGTTTCTGTCATAACAAAGAGTTAACATTAGCAGTCCCAAGTCTGCTCACATAGTTCAAATTTTGCTAGTATCAGGGAACTTGGAACTTGAAGTAGTTCACCAACATAAATTATAAGAGTGCTTAACTGTGCCTACATGATTTATGTAAATACTATAGTCCTTTCTGAACTCCTGTTTTCCTTCTGAATGTCTATTAATTTGTTCCATGCTCACTGTGGTACCTAGAGGATTAGACCCCACTGTGCACTGAGTCTATTGAGCTTATTACCTGGTAGACACTATTTCATGCATGTTTTAACAACTTGTCCTTTGGGAAATTGAATTCTTCCTATGTATTTACACCAAGAGAGATCATTTGGGAACTTGCAAGCACTTAACTCCAGCTAAATTTAATAAAGTACTATGAAAAATTATCATTATGTAACGATCCTAACAGAACAATTTTTAAATTTATATTGAGCATTGTCAAACCAGAATTATATCAGTGTTAAGATGACACATGTTCTTAGAAAAAACTCAATATAACCAATTTGACATCACCTCTTCCAAAACATACCTCATAAAAATCTCATAAATCTTTAAAACATACTCTTCAGTAGTCAACAAAAACTGCTTTTAATAACCTAAAAGGAAAAACAAGTCTAACAATGACCAAAGTCTTAATGTATGGCTTGCCTCACATACATTAAGGACTTTCAAATCTAATATTCAAAGCAGCCTAGTATTAGTAGAAAACAAATAGCCAAAAGGAAAGGAGTTTTCCATGAGCTGGCATAGAGTGGCACTTTAGAGCAGAGTGAGAAATCACAACCATTTTAAAACATGGTCTCTACTTGAAAAAAAATACATTGCATTTCCAGTTATTCCATGGACAATGTGATCAGCCTAGAACACATTCAGAAATCAAAGACAAATATTTCTTGAGTGGAATAGATAGGATATTTCATACATATTTGATATATAATATATATAGTGAAGAGTGGGAGATTTTCCATGCATATTTATATATTTATGTTTTGAAGAATGGAAAGTTTTGTAGTCAGCACATACTGGCTACTCCCTACAATTGAACTGAATCAACAGTTGTGCAGCTGCACAATGAGAAAGGGGAGCAGAGGGCAAGTTCTGAATTCCAACTCAAGAGTCAGTGATCGGTTGAGGAACAGGAACACTGGTTGTTTAGAATTATGAAAGAGTTTAAAAAAGAAGAAAGAGAAATAGACTTCCATCAGTGCTGAGCACATGGCTGCTCCATGAGGGAAGGGAAACTCCTCTCCAGAGAGCTGGAAAAAAGAAGAATCTTAAAGATTTCAAGAAAGGCCACCTCTAGGTCTGGGGCTGTAGCTCACACATATGAGGCACCAGGTTCAATCCTCAGCACCACAAAAAAAATAAATAAGCAAAATAAAGGTATTGTGTCCATACATAACTAAAAATATTTTTAAAACAAGAAAAGGCCAACTCTACTATCAGGCATGTATGCAGTTTGAGGAGAACAAAGATTTAAATACAGCCGAACAATAATGATGTGGCTGAATAGCATACCTGCATTCCCAGATATTTTCTTCTGGACTCATTGAGAGCTGAGAAGAGGATACTCTTAAAAGCGACATCACTGTCTAGGTTGCATGAGAGATGAGAAATCCCTGCATGGTTTTGTTTGTTTGGTTGGTTTTTTTGTTGTTGTTGTTGTTTGTTTGTTTGTTTTGTCCTCTCTTTTTTTCTCTTATTTTTTGAATCCCCAAGACCCAACAACCTCATGCTAATTTCTCCCTCCCCCTAATTTGGTTAATGTGTGCCCAATCCAAAAATCATCTGAGGATCAGGAATGGGACTATGGCATGAACCCACTGGGAGCTCTAATCTGTGAAAGGCTGATGATGGGACTTCTGAAACTGGCAGTTTGGGTTTTACACAGGACTATACACACCAGTTGCACTTTGGGACAATTTAATCTGTCCAGATCTCACGCAGTGGAATTTGTCATGGGACTTTCAGAGCCATCTGGGTTTCACAGGATAGGGCAAGAGTAGTAGGATATTCACAGGGGTACAGGTGTCTACACCTGTTGCAGTCACTGGGATTCATCATGTGAAACTTTCAGAGTCACCCTAATATCCCTGGGGAAGGAAACAGCAAAGTGAGTTGTTAGTCCCAGGGATATAGGTGTGCACACACACTTGCCAAAGCTGCTGGGTATTCATCACATGGACTTTTAGCTGCTGGGTACTCATCCTTCTTCCTATACTCTATTCCTCTTATTTCCCCCCTTCCTTTTCTCTCTCATCACTTTTCCTTCGGTCTCTCTTACTTCCCTCCCATTTTTCCTATTTATTTTGTTTGTGTTTGTTTTCGTTTTTTTGGTTTACTGTTTCTTTGACTTATATGTTCTTTCTTTTTTCTTCGAAGTAAAGAATTTATTCATTTCAGCTTTCTCTTCTTTTTCTTCTATACTCTCACTCAACCTTTTTTCTGCTACTTGCTTTTTCTTCTTCTGCCTCTTTTCCTTCCCCAATTTTTTTCCTTTACTTTTCCCTTTTATACCTCTTCTTCTTTCTCTTTTGTTTTCATACCCTACATGTATATTGATTTTAATTTTTTAATTTTTTTAGCCTATTACAGGTTATTACTCCAGTTTCTAATTCTGTACTATAGAGTTATAGAAAATGTTCTTAATAAGTATTTATGGTATATTAGTATACACTTAGCTTTCAAGTAATGACAGTTGCAATGTAGGGCCAGGAATTGATCAAAGGATAGTGAACATGTTCAGCGGGTCCTTTGACAGAAATAGATCCCTGGCTCCAGACACATAGTAAAGAGAAAGCGGTTTACTAAAGAGACTTCCATAAAACAGTAGGGGAGTCATCATTCAAGCAGATTGAATGGACTGACCATTGTTTTGTTAGGGCATGAATACATTGTTTCAAGCCCTCCTGGACTTCCATGTTTCTGTTGAGAAATCTGATGTTATCCTCATTCATTTTCCTGTAATTGTGAACTGGTATGTCTCTCTTATAGCCTTTAAAATTCTTTCTTTGGTCTGGATTTTATGGGGTTCCAATTGGATATAAATTTCAATACATCAATACTGAAATACAGGAAACATGAGAAAACCAGGAAATAGGATGCCTCTAAAGGCATATAACTCCCTAATAAGTGAATCCATAGATGTCCAAGTGGATAAAATCCCAAAGAATTCAAAAACTTAATAGTTAAAATAATCAATTAATTAAAAGAAGCTCAAAGAATGAATAACGGTAGGAAAATATGGGATATGAAAGAGTATTTCAATAAAGAGAGAAATTCTGAAGAAGAATCAAACAGAAATATTGAAAATGAAAGAATAAAAAGTCTCTCCACTAGATTGGATCCATTTCAATCCACTGGGATGCATTTCAATCCATTTAATCCACTAGATTAGGTCAATTTCAAAGTAGAAATCTCCTCTATTTCTTGGTGTGATCCATTCATTGTTCAAAAGTGTATTGTTCAGCTGGGACTGGTAGCACACACCTGTAATTCCAGCAATTTAGAAGAGGCAGGAAGATTGCAGGTTTGAGGCCAGCCTCAGCAACAATACCAAAAGTTGGTTCTTCAAAAATATTAATAAAATCATTAAACCTACAGCCAAGCCAAAAAAAAAAAAAAAGGCAAAAAAAATGAAAGAGGGAACATCACTACTGATTCCATGGATATTAAAGAAGATCATAAAGGAATATTATGAAATTTCATGACCACAAATTTGGTAACTTAGATGAAAGGGGCAAATTCTTTGAAAGGAACAACCTATCAAAAGGCACATGAGGAGAAATAACAATATGAATCTGTATTAATAAATTGAATCAATGACTAGTAATACTCCAAAAAAGGAAGAACTAGGCCCAGATGATCTCACTGGTAAATTCTTCCAAACATTTAGGGAAAAATTGATACCTGTTCTCCAGAATCCCTTCCACAAAATAAAAGCAGAATAAACACTTCCTAATTAATGCAATAAGGCTAACATTACCCTACAACAACCCAAGACAGAGACATTACAAAAAAGGAAAACTACAGAAGATAGATGTAAAAATCCTCAACAAATGTTAACAGATTGAATCTTAAAATGTAATCTCAGGGACTCCCAGGCTGAAGCAGGAGGATCACAAGTTCAAAGCCAGCCTCCACAACTTAGACCATATCTTCAAAATAATAATAATAATAATAATAATAATAAAATGGTTTGGGAACATAACTCAGTGGTAGAAGGCCCTAGGTTCAATTCCCACCATTCAAAAAGTAAAAATTAAAAAATCAATTAATGACCCATCACATAAACAAACTAAATAACAAAATTCATATGATCATACCAGTAATTGCAAAGAATCACACAGCAAGAAAAGAGAGGGAAGGTGAACCATTAAAATTGAGAAGGAAAAAAACTGTCCATAGATGACACAACTGTCTATGTAGAAAATTCCAAAATCAACAAAAAACTCAAGAACCTAATAAGATGATATAGCAAAGTTATAGAATATGAGATTAATATACAAAAGGCTATCATTTTCCTGCATAACAGCAATGAATAACTGAATTTGAAATTAAAAATACAGCACCACTACACAGCACCCCTTACATAGCACCAACAATAAAAAGAGGAATATTTTTATATAAGTCTAACAAAGACCTATATGACAAAAACTATAAATTTCTAGTACAAATATGGAATAACCAAATAAATGGAGAGATATTCCATGATCATAGATAGGACACCTCAATATTATTAAAATGTCAGTTCTCCATTTTAACTATGAATTCAACACAATCCCAATAAAAACACTGACAAGTTAGGTTACCAATAACCAAAAAAAAAAAAAAAAAATCTAAAGGTTGGATGGAAAGGCAAACAAAACAAAAGAAAAAACAGAATGGCCAAAACAATATTGAAGAATAAAAAGTACACAGGATTGACCTAACTTTAAAACTTAATATAAAACTACAATAATCAAGAGGAAAGAATAAACATAGTTCGACCAAACAGAAAACCCAAAAATAAACCCACAAAAATTGGTCAATTGATCTTTGACAAAAGAGCAAAGGAAATTCAATGATGAAAATATGGTCCTTTCAACAAATAATACTGGACCACCCGGACATCCATATACAAAGAAATACAGGAGACACACACTTAAACGCAAAGTGGATCGCAAATCTAAATGTAAAATGCAAAGTTTAGAACTTCTAGGAGACAACATCCAGAAGCAAAACGACCTTGAGTTTGGCAAGCAATTTTCAGGATCTAAAAGCAGGATCTGTGGATGAGAAACTGTTAACCTGGACTTCACCTGAATTTCGGTTTTTCAAAAGACAGAGCCTCCCCGGTCCTCACCGCACAGTCCAGGGAGACGCGGGCTGCGGGCACATTGCTGCCCGACTGCGCTCCGGGGCTCCGGGACCCCGGGCGGGCCCAAGCGGCCGCGGTGGGACCGGAGAGGGCGGGGGGAGGGGGATCCTCCAGCCACCCAGGGCCAGGGGGGACCGAGGGCCAAGCGGCGCCGGCGGCGGCCGCAAACTCCGGAGCTGATGCGGGGAGGCCGGCCCTGCCACAAGCGGTTTCCGCCGGTTCCAACCAGCCTGTCTTCCCTGGTCTCAGAACACGGGATTCCCACTCACCATTTCCCAGCTTCTGGGGTCCCTAACGTCCTCCCTAAGGCTCCTGCGGTCATCCGAGGTGTCGCCGCCAACAAAAGCTGAGGCCGGGTTCCCAGCCTAGCGGCGGCAGAAACCACAACCTCACGGTTCAGAGAGCAAGCATGGCCCCGCCCCTGAGAGCCTGATTGGCTAGTGACCCAGTGCCCACCCCACTGAGTGACAGGAGAAGCGATCTTGTGGTTGAGTGGAATTGACAGGATCAGGACGTCATAGCCCTTGCCAGTTCCCGGCTGCCTCCCCAGGGACGGTCCTGGCCCAATCTGGGTCATAATTGCATTTGAGCAGAACTTGTTCGCAGCTTCCCAGACCATGCCCGGTTATTGTCTTGTACTTCTTGTTGTTCCGAAGTCACAGGCTCATCATGCAATGGAGCAATACGTTTACCAGACCACAATGGACCAGACTAGGACAGGAAGGATGATTGGGTGTCCTCCAGGGATCAGAAATTTGGGATGAAGTATGCCAAGAATCGTTTACAACTTATCTGTCGGTAAACATTTTCAGTTAAAAAAAAAGATGAAACAGGGGTTGGGGTTGTGGATCAAGTGGTAGCGCGCTCGCCTGGCATGCATGCGGCCCGGGTTCGATCCTCAGCACCACATACAAACAAAGATGTGTCCGCCGAAAACTAAAAGATAAATATTAAAAAACTCTCTCTCTCTCTCTCTCTCTCTCTCCTAAAATAAATAAATAAATAAATAAAATAAACAAAAGGGGAACAATATATATATATATAAATTCTGAAAATATAAACATAATTGATAAACCTTTAGCTATATTGACTTAAAAACACAGAGCAAATTGCTAAATTTAGAAATGAAAGCAGAGATATTACTGACACCAGAGGACATTGGGATTTTTTTGTTAGGTAACTACTCAGTCATGAATGGATGAGCAGAGAAAAGACATTGAAGAGCCACTGAAAATCACAGGGACACTTATCTGACAGAAAAGCACCTGGAAGACCCGGGTCTGGTGTGTCAAAACTTTCCCCAACCATAATAACATCCCCTTAAGAAAAAATATTGGTTCAAGATCATGTCACACCCCACCAGGTAGCCTGGACCCTCCCTTATCATCAAAACTATTACAACCCCCCAATCATTCTGGCAAGTAAAGCATCAAGACCCTCACAAAGAAAGCTTGCTGAGGGTAGAAAACTGATTCAAAGGATAGAAAACTGATTAAGGGGGCAGGAAATTGAGGTTAAAAACAGAGGGACTCAATTTCCTCTGTGAATGCCACACCATTACTTTGAGGCAGTTAAAGCAGCTCTTATGCTGTGCGTGGGGGCTGGGGTTGTAGCTCAGTGCTTGCCAGCATGTGTGAGGCACTGGGTTTGATCCTCAGCATCACATAAAAAAATAAAATGTCAGAGGTAGACTTGGGTGGGACTTTGGAAACCTCCCTGGGACTCCCAGTAAAACTGGAAGCAGAAGGGGCGCAGCATCCTCTCCTCTCTTAGAGGACCCACTCTCTCCCTTGAGAGTGTACCCTTTTCCTATCACTTCTAATAAACTCATGCTGTTATTCTGAGCCATATGTCTTAAATCTTTCTGGCATGATTGCAAGAACCCTGGTGAAAGAAGGCCTTTGGGCTATTTCAATTTCACAGTAGAACTTGTGCCCTGTAACATTTTAAATAGATGAAAATAGACACAAATCAAGTCAGGTGAGCAAATATACAGGCATGGATTTTACTGGAGATTTCATTTAGAAAGAGAGACAGTGCTCTGAGAAGAAGACATCAGATTGAGCCCAGGGGCACTTAACAACTGAGCCATATCCCCAGCCCTTTTTGTATTTTATTTAGAGACAGAGTCTCACCGAGTTGCTTAGGGCCTTACTAAGTTGCTGAGGCTGGCTTTGAACCCAAGAGCATCCTGCCTCAGCCTCCTAAGCCTCTGTGATTACAGGCATGTGCCACAGCACCTGGCCCAAGTTGTCTTTTTAATGTCTAAGGAGCTCCTTTTATTGTTTATTTTTAGGGGTGATCATGTCAATTAACTTTGGGTATACTCAACTCAAGCATTTTATCCTGTGCTAAAGATGTTACTGTAAATGTTAAAGAGAACACATATGTAGCACCCTGACCCCAATGATACAAAGCTGACACTGGTTGAGGGTGGCACAAGTCTTCTGAGGTCTGCTGTCAGGCCATACACCAAGGCCCAGAACTGCATTTGCACTTTTCCCTTTGGTGCTTTCTGTCTCATTACTATGAACCTTGCAGAAAGAGAATGGATTCAAAGAAAACACTACACCAGAAAAAGTTAGATAACCCAGAAGAGGTAAACAAATTTCTAGAAATGCATAATCTACTAACACTGAATCATGAAGAAACAGAAAATCTGATTAGAACTATAACTTGTGAGGAGATTGAATCTGTAATCAAAAACCTCCAGTGATGAAAGGCCAGGACAAGATGACTTCACTGGTAAAATTTGCCAAATACTTAAAGAAAAGTTAGCAACAATGCTTCTCAACTTCTGAACAACTGAAGAAGAGAGAATGCTTTCCAATTCGTTCTGTGAGACCAAGTGCACCCTGAATCGAAAGTCAAACAATGGTACTACAAAGAAAAGAAGCCACAGTTTTCCTTTACAATACTGATGCATAAATCCTTAACAAAATACTAATGAATGGAACAAGCAGCATGTTAGAGGGATTATAAATTTAAATGCTGTATTTAGGAGTTGGGTTGTGGCTCAGTGGTAGTGTGCTTGCCTAGCATGTGTAAGGCACTGGGTTTGATTCGCAGTACCACATATAAATAAATAAATAAAATAAACATCCATCAACATCTAAAGAATATTTTTAAATAAATAAATAAATAAATGTATGCACATGATCAGCTCTACTGGATACAGAAAAATCATTTGATAAAACTCATTGTCATGAAAAACAAAGCAGATGCCATCAATGGGTACAGAATTTGTTTGAAATGATGAGAGTTTTAGGGGTAGCAAAAATTGTTATGTGACCTTATGAATATACTTAATGAAACCAAGTTAGACACATAAAATGTTAAAATGAAAAATTTATGGATGAATATTTTACCACAAAATGCTTAAAACTCAAAACAAAAACCAAATCAAACTAATAGATATGAATGCCGCAGCCCGGCTGGCTGGGCAAAATAACCGAGGGGTGACGAACAACTTGTGTACTGTACGTTGATACAGCAGGAGTGGAAGCCGTTTATTGCAGGACAGGAGCAGTATTTATACATTCCACACAGCTTATCTAATTAGCATAAACTAGATACAGCAGTCAACCAATCAGGAATCTCCACACTTAATGGCTCACTTTTGTTACTTCTCAAACCACTCCCTCTGGCATTTTGCCAGGCACCATCCAGACTTGTTTAGGAACTCTAACATTCCCCTGGCAAAATGCCAGGTGTTATTTTGACTTGTTTACAGACTCTAACATATGAAAACTATTTATAAATCACCAGAAAAAATACACTAGAAGGTGCCACAACCTGCTCAGCATCAACAACGGATCTCAAGTAGGTGTGACAGGAGATAAGAAAAACACAGAGACATGGGGCTGGGGTACAGCTCAGTGGTAGAGTGCCTGCCCAGTGCCTGTGGGTTTGATCCTCATCACCACATAAAAAATACATATAAACAAATAAAATAAAGTTATTGTGTCCATCCACAAATAAAATAATGTTTTTTAAAGAAGCATAGAAACAAAGAAAAACACAGAGACATTTTAAAGCAAAGCTGGAGCCAGGAGGGACACTGTCCTCCGACAGAGGAACAATGACCCAGAATTAGCTCATGTTTATTATACAGGGTCTCATTATCAAAAAGTTAAACTACAGAAGCTTTGTAAATTGTTTAAGGCTTCTGAGTTATCAAGAGGCTTCTTTGTGCACTAAAATGTTGCAGAGTTAGAACATTTGGTGGCTATCCTGCTGTTACAGTATCAGGAACATCCTGCGACTATCCTGCTGTACCCAGAAAACCCATTGTACTGGAACATCTGATAACTATTGATGTCAGAGCCCAGTATCAAGGCTGTTCACATCCTCACCTTTTGGCAAGGAATGTTTCCCAGGCTTGGCTTTTGCCTCCACTGCAGGGTCAGCTCATTTGTTTTCCACAGGAAGGAATTAAAATAGGAAAGATGAAAAGATGAGTAAAGTTCAAGATTTAGCCACAGAAAATGTAATAACAAAATGCAGAGAAAAGGGATGGAGAAAATGAACAGAACATCAGTGAACTGGTATTGGTACAACCACAAATGCCATAATATGCTTATAATTGGACTCCTTGAAAGCAGGGAAGGACAAAAAAAAATTTGGATAAATAATGGCTCCAAATTTTTCAAATTAGGTATAAAGTATAAAACCAAAGATCCAGGGGCTGGGGATGTGGCTCAAGCGGTAGCGTGCTGGCCTGGCATGCGTGCGGCCCGGGTTTGATCCTCAGCACCACATACAAACAAAGATGTTGTGTCCGCCGAAAACTAAAAAAAAAAAAAAAAAAAAAAAATTAAAAAACCCCCAAAGATCCAAAAAGACCATTAAACTACAAACAGAAGATTTATATAAAAAAAAAATTTATAGCAAGGCATGTCATCATGCTTCAAGCCAGGGAGAAAGAAAAATTCATTAAAATAAATAGAGAAAAAAGACATATTCACTATAGAGAAGCAAAGATACAGTTGAGAACATACTTAATAGAAATAATGAAATCATAAGACAGTGGAACAAGAACCAAAAGAGTAATTATACCAACTTAAAATCCTATACCCAACCAAGAATAGCTATTCAATGAAGGGAAATAAGTGCTTTGTTTAGACTTAATGAAAGAATTTGCAACCAGCATTCTAACTCTATAAGAAATGTCAAAGGAATCCCTGAAGAGAAAAAAGGCTAGACATACAAAGAAGAAAGAAGAGCACCAGAAATGACAATTCAAGTAGTCTTGGTAATACCAAAGATTCTTACTAAAATCTTTTTAAAAGATTTAAAAGAAACAACAGAGTATTTGACAGTGTGGGAGCTAGCACTAACACGTCCTATCAAACAGCAACATTTGCTGAGCCCTGCACAAGTCTTACATGTATGACATTATTGAATTTAAATTAATGTACC